TCCATCCATCCCATCCAACAATACACTCATCCACTCATTCATTCCTTCATCTATTCCTCCAACATTCATCCATTTATCCACCAATCTGGCTATCCTCTATCCATCCAGCCATTTACTCATCCATTCCTTCATCTATTTCTGCAGCATCCATCTATCCATCCTCCATCTAACTCTTCATCTATCCATCCAATCACTCATGTATTCACCCAACCATCCACTCATTCATCTATCCATTCCTTCATCTATTCCTCCAACATCCATCTATCCATCCACCATTCTATCCATCTTCTGTCCATCCAACCATTCACTCATCCATCCATCTATCCATCCACTCATTCATCTATCCATTCCTTCATCTATTCCTCCAGTATCCATCTATCCATCCACCGTTCTGTCCATCTTCTGTCCATCCAACCATTCACTCATCCATCCATCTATCCATCCATCCCTTCATCAATCCTTCCAGCATCCATCCAGTCATGCACCCACCCATCAATACATCATGGAGTCATACCTTCCTCCACTTACGCATTCACATGTTCACTCATTCATTCAACCAATATGTATTGAATGCCTACTGTGTGCCGGGCTGTGCCAGGCAGCTGGGACACCACTATGAACAAAACAAAGTGCTCCTCCTATGGAGCTTGTGTGCTCGGCAGTCCTCAAAGTGCCAAACTCCCTCCTGCCCCCAGGTTTTATGCGAGCTGTTCCTTCTCCCTGGAACATTTCCCCTCCCCTCCCTCATCTTCACCACCTGGCTTATGCCTACTCATCCTTCTGAGCTCCGCTGAAAAGTCACTTGCTCAGGGACCTCCTTGACCTCTCTCAAACACGCAGCACAAGGGATATCCCTTCTGATATCCTAGTAGGAGGGTCCTAGTGTGTATGGTTATTTGATTATTATCTGTCTCTTCCACTAGACCATGAGCTCTTCCAAGCCTGACATTTTAGTCTGTTTTGTTCCCAGGTGAATTTCAGGTGCCCCCAAAAATGCCTGGGACACATTAGGTGCTCAGAAAGTATTTCTTAAATGACTGCATGAATTGAGTTGAAGGAATGTGGAAGAGTCTGTCTCTGCCTCCTGGCTCCCTGTCCGGTGCTCTTTATATTGTTCTATACTCCTAGCAGCAGTGACATGCAAGTCCTCAAATGGGTCGTAGATGTCAACAGCATGGTGGTTACAGGCAAGGGCTCTGGATTCAGATCCACTCGGTTTGTTTTTTCTTTTTGTTTTTTGAGACAAGGTCTCACTCTGATATGCAGACTGGAGTGCAGTGACACAATCATGGCTCACTGCAGCCTCCATTTCCCTGCAGCCTTGACTTCCGGGACTCAAGCAATCCTCCCACCTCAGCCTCCCCCACTCCCAAGCAGCTGGGACTACAGGTGTGTGCCACCATGCCCAGCAATTTTTTGTATTTTTTGTAGAGATGGGATCTCACTGTGTTGTCCAGCATGTCTCGACTCCTGAGCTCACACAATCCTGCTGCCTTCAGCCTCCCAAAGTGCTGAGATTATAGGTGTGAACCACTGCACCTGGTGCAGACCCATACAGTTTTTAGTGTCCACTCACACTTTCCAGATGTGTGACCTTGGACAGGGCACTTCCCTTGTTAAGCCTCAATTTTCCTCACTCGTCAAGTCCAGCTAAAGTTTAAATGAGCAAATGCATTTAGTTTTTAGTTATGACAACACTAAACACTAGCCATTTTTCCTAAGCACCTTCCATGAATTTAATTTAACCCTCAATATAACTCAATGAGATAGATTATGATTTTTTTTTTTTTTTTTTTAGACAGAGTCTCACTCTCTCACCAGGCTGGAGTGCAGTGGCGCAATCTCAGTTCACTGCAATGTCTGCCTCCCAGGTTCAAGCAATTCTTCTGCCTCAGCCTCCTGAGTAGCCAGGACTACAGGCATGCACCATGATGCCTGGCTAATTTTTGTATTTTTAGTAGAGACGGGGTTTACCATGTTGGCTAGAATGGTCTCAATTGCTTGACCTCGTGATCCACCTGCCTCAGCCTCCCAGAGTGCTGGGATTACAGGCATGAGCCACTGCACTTGGCCAAGATAGAATATGATTTTTAAAAGTATTATTATCTGCACTTACAGAGAGAGAAATGGAGACATGGAGAATATAAGTAATCCCTCCAAGGTTGCATGGAAAGGGGAGCAGAGCTGGGACCTGAATCCCAGTGCTCTGCCCCCAAAGTCACACAGACAACCAGTGCACTATGGCTGCCTCTCAATGCCTGGGCAGCCTCCGAATCTGAGCATCTCTTTGGAAACGTGTCATGGCAGCCTGGCAAGCCCATCTGTGTGCCCATCTCTGAGTATGTGCATCACTGCATGTCTCTCCCTGTGGAACGGGGCTACCTGTGGACCCTGGGCAGGCCCAGCAGGGTGCAAGCGTCGGGCCGTGAGAGTCGGCACTGGGACCTGCATGCATGGTCCGTAGGTGTATACCCACGCATGCTTCCCTGGGTGTAAACGCACATCCATCTGGGGGGATGCAAGAATCCACAAGGATGGGACTCTGGGCAAACCTGGGAGGCATTTCTGGGGGTTCTGTGGTAGGATAATGACTGTGAGATGTACACATAGGCAGCAGTAGGGGTGGGGTGTGATCTAATTAGAGGAAGGACCTAGGACGCTTGCTTGAAGTTGTATTTGCAGAAGCAGCAAGCAATTTTTACTTTATTTTGTCATTTTTATTTCTTGCTCTAAATATTTATTTATTTATTTTAATTTTTTGTTTTTGAGACAGGATCTCACTCTGTCACCCAGGCTGGAGTGCAGTGGCACATTCTTGGCTAACTGCAACCTCTACCTCCCAGGTTCATGTGATCCTCCTACCTCAGCCCCTCAAGTAGCTAGGACTACAGGGTTGCATCACCACACCTGGCTAATTTTTGTACAGACAGGGTTTTACCATGTTGCCCAGGCTGGTCTTGAACTCCTGAGCTCAAGTGATCCGCCCACCTTAGCCTCCCAAAGTACTAGGATTACAGGCATGAGCTACCGCACCTGGCCTATTTATTCTTGAGATGGGATCTTGCTCTCTTGCCCCGGCTGGAGTGCAGTGGTGCAGTTATAGCTCACTGCAGCCTCAAAATCCTGGGCTCCAGCAATCCTTCTACCTCAGCCTCCTGCATAGGTGGGACTACAGGCATGCGACACCACACCCACTAGTATTGTTTTGGTTTTTTGTTTTTGTTTTGTAGAGATGGGGGTCTCACTATGTTGTCCAGGATAGTCTCAAACTCCTGGACTTCAAGTGATCCTCCCTTCTTGGCCTCCCAAAATATTGATTTTTACAGGTGTTAGCCCCGCCTGATTTTTACTTAGAGGTTATATTTATTTGAATGTCACTGATTGAGGGTCAGCACTGAGAGGGCCTCCAAGCCATCCTCCAGGCTACATAGATCTAGCTCAAGCTTGTCCAACCCATGGTCTGAGGCTCCCAAGCAGCCCAAGACGGCTTGGAATGCAGCCCAACACAAATTTGTAAACTTTCTTAAAACATCACAAGCCTGTTTTTGTAATTGTTCTTTTATTTAGCTCATCAGCTATTGTTAGTGTTACTGTATTTTATGTGTAGCCCAAGACAACTCTTCTTCCAATGCAGCCCAGGGAAGCCAAAAGATTAGACACCCCTGATGTAGATCTTACCCACGGGATTTAACCTCCACGCGCCTCAGTTGTCTCCTCTGTGAAATGGGAATGATATAATTGCACCCAAGAGAAAATTAAATGAGAAAATGCTTTCAAAGCACTTAGCACTTCACCACTTACAGGAAGTGACAGTTGCGATTAACTGCTATTAATATACCAGAAACTGTTACTTGCTGCTTTTGAGAAATATTCATTAAGCACTTAGTTGGTACCAATGTTTTGTCGACACTGACTGGTTTCTCAAACTGTGGATCCCTTAGGAAGTAAGTTTGTGGTGTGTATTTTACTGATGAGGAAATGGGGACTCAGAGCAAGAGGTGCACACAGGCAGGAGGTGGCCCAGGTGGGATTCAAACCCAGGTCCCTGCTAGTACCTGTATCCTGGCTGTGGCACTGTACCTTTGAGTCTCAGCTTCCCCTTCCACCACCGACCTTCAGAGTGGCTCAGGTGGGAGGGCCTGAAGCCCTGGGTTCCTGGGAAGAGGGGCCTGGGGTCCCGGACTTCTACCTTTGTGATAGAGGGGCGGAGAACCTGGCCCCGGACCGTGGAGAAGCAGCGTATCACGATCCCAGATCTCTGGATCCCCAATGTGGAAACGCACTTGGTCTCTGATGCCTTGGTCCCAGGAAATCTCCCTGCTTCCTTGCTCAGGCCAAGTGATTTCGGCTTTCTGGCCGCGGGTTTGGAGCGGGGAAAGGAGGGAGGGTGCAGGGGGAGGAGCCGTAGACCTGCGACAGTGGCAAGGAGGAGCCGAGCGGGCACCGCGGCGCGGCGGGCGCGCTGGGCTGCAGCGGCGGCGGCGGCAGCAGCGGCTCTGGGTGAGAGAGCTCCTCCCCTCCCCCAGCCACAGCCCCCGCCCCAGCTAGATCCCGGGGGTCGGCCCCGGCGCGTGGGGGCGGGGTAGGTGCAGAGGCGCGTGGATCTCGGGCCGGGGAGTGGGAGCGATGCAGCGCTCTCCGGCCACCCCGGGGGATGGACACGTGGCCTTGGAAGGGGGCTCCGAAATACCTGGGTGTACCCCACCCCTCGCCCACTGACCTCCAGCGCGTGGAGATGGTTTCCCCATTCCGTGGCCCCTAAGGACTTAGGGCTCCGTGGCTTTTCGAAGTCCCGGACATGGCTCCCCTCCCCTGCAGCGTCCTGGGACCCCAACATCTTAACCCCCCCAACCTTAAAAAAAGAAAAAAAAATCCCATCCTCTCTGCAGCCCGGGGAGGCATTAAGTACTTCAACTCCCAGCAGCCTCTACAGCTCCGGGTCTATGAAGCTGCAGCAGCGCGAGCGCGAGGCCTGCCGGGAATTGTAGTCTCTTAGCCCTTAACGGGAGCTGGGGGCCCGGAGGTGGGAGGGGGGTGGCCGGGCTCCCAGTGGGTCGCCTAGGGTCTGGCAGCTGGCTCGAGGAGGGCAGATGTGACTCTTAAGCTGAGCTTTTTCTCTCGGCCTCAGCCCCCGGATCAGACTTCCCCTCTCATCACCCAGCGTGTAGGGACAGGTCCACAGTCCCTTGTCCGCTCGACAACCCCCATGGGCTGCCGCCCGCCGCCGCCTCGGCTGCCACCCAGGACGCGGCAGAGATAAGCTCAGGTGAGTGTGACCATGCCTGTCTTGGAGGCCTGGCCTTCTGCAGCACCCCCACGACACCTGTCCATCTGTGAGCCCTGGTCTGTCTGTTCCTAATTCCCCTGCATCCCCTTCAACCCGTCTTGACGCCTGGCTCTGAGCCATGTGTCACTAATTCCCCCTCTCCCCACATCCACCTCTCCCTCCTAGCCCCCTCTCATTTCTGTGTTCATCCAGCCTTCCCTTCTGAACCCATGTCTGTCTGCCCAGCCCTCCTCTCTCTCCTTTTGTCTGTCTGTGATCTCTAGCCATCATCTACCGCCCTTTATTTCCGCACCCATCCATCCTCTCATTCGACTGTTCTTCTTTCAAAGACATTTCTGCCCACACTCCTGCCTGCCCCTCTTCACCGTCCCTCTTCCCCTCGTCTCTTGAGCCCCAGTGAATTAATTACACCTCAGTTCATTGCTTGTCACTGTCCATCCCAAGTCTCAATCCTTGACTTTCCTTCTGCTGCCTGTTCACCTCTCCCTCTCTTCCGAGCCTCAGGCTGGCCTTTTCATCATCGCTGTCTCCGCTCCCTGTATCCCTCCCTCCCTCAACTTGGTCCCCATCTCTGCATCTCCACCTCTCCACCCCCAGCTACCACCACACCTGTCCACCCCCTATCTCTCTAGCTGCATCCATCCGTCTCTCCTGGCCCTCCCCGTGTCTACCCCAGTCTGGCCTCCTTCTTGGTCCCTGGACCGTCCAAGTGCTCCCTCCCACCCTAACCCCCCCTCCCCCCATTCATCCTGTTCCTTCGGTCTCTACAATGCCTTTCCCCACCCCGGCACCACTGCCGCCTGCCTGTGGCTGGCTCCATGTCATTCTTCAGGTCTGGGAGAGCCCTCCCTGACCGCCCCCCTCTGAGTTCCTTTGTGACACATCCTCCAGCTGCGTCCTGTGGAGCGTTCCTCACAGTCTGAGAGTAACCCGTTTGTGTATGTGTTTTTGTTTGCTTGTTTACTCTATGTCTCCGCTTGTTGGATTGTGACCCCAGGAGGTCAGGGAACTCCAGGACCTTGTTCTCTGCTGGATTCGCAGCAACCAGCACAGCATGCAGAGTGTAGTTGGTGCTGGACAGATGTTGGCTGAATGAATGAATGATGAATGGCTGGCACCTTGTCTGCTCATCCCTAACTCCTGTTCCTTCATCTGTGCAGCCCTAATCTTTGTTTCCTCGTCTGTCCATCCCTTTATTTGTGCATCCTGATTCTTTGTCCCTTCACTGCCCTTCTCTGCCTCTTCCTCCTTGTTCATTTGTCCCTATTCTGTCCTTTACTCCATTTATGCCAACCTCTGTCCCCTTGGCTTATCCAGTCCCTGTTACTCTCTCCATCCCTAATTTCTGCCCTCCTGTCTGTCCGCTCCTAATTCCTTTTCCTTGTCCATCCCGCTCTAATACCTGTCCCCTTGTCCTTCCTCAAATCTCCATCCCTTATCCATCTCTCTCTAATCATCGTCCCCTTTGCCCATCCTTCCTTTGCTTGGTGTCTCCTTCCACCCTTATCTCCACACCTGCCCACCCTTCTCTCCCATTCTGTTTCCCATCTGCACCCTTGCCCCACCCCTCCCACACACAGGACCAGACGGCCACCATGTCAGGGGACTATGAGGATGACCTCTGCCGGCGGGCACTCGTCCTGGTCACAGACCTCTGTGCACGAGTCCGAGATGCTGACACCAACGACAGGTGCCAGGAGTTCAATGACCGAGTCCGAGGCTATCCCCGGGGTCCAGATGCAGGTCAGCACCCCTGGCTGTTTTGGCCAGCCCCCTGCCTGCATGGCCAGGAGACTCAGAGCAGACCTGCTCAGCTTTCCGTTGCCTGTGGGGCCAGTCCCTCATAGAGTCTTGCCCCCATCCTGCCTGCTGCTGCCCCTCTCCCAAACCTCTGATCCAAGGAGAAGGCTATGTGGTCTACTTGACCCCTGACTTTTTGAGTTTTGCCCAGTGGGCCTCCCTCTGACTACTGCCACCAAACGTCCCCTTCAGATATCTCTGTTCATCTTGTGTACGTCTCAGGCTCTTGAGTCAGACTGTCTGACTTGTTTAGGTTCAAATCCCACCTCCCCCACTTTATTAATAACTGCATGGCTATAGGTGAGTGAATTTTCTTCTGAGCCTCAGTCTCCTTGTCTGGAAAATGGGGATAATAAAAGGGACGCTTCATAGAGCAGATGAAAGACTTAAAGGATGTAACACCTGGGAAGCACTTAGAACAACGTTGGGCACACCGTGGCCATTCATTCAACGTTGGGATTCACTTGCTGAGCCTGCGAGGTCCTTACACATCTTGCATCTCAGTGATTACTCACAGTGACCCCTTGTGGGATATCTAATCCCCATTTTCAACAGGGGAAACTGAGGCTGAGAAAGGTGAAGTGACCTGTCCAAGGTCACACAGCTAAAAAGCAGCAGGGTTCTGGGAACCAGGAAACGTTATGAGTCTCATTGTCCAGATGAGGAAACGCTGACCAGAAGAAGCATGTGCTGAGCAATTACAACCACAGTCACACTTGCTGAGCAGCAGGACAGGGCCAGGCACCACATATGAAGGATGCCCAGGTGACAGTCATGAGGGATAAGGGCCAGAGAGCAGCAGTCCCTTGCCCAGAGGCTCATAGCCTGTAGGTAGCAGAGCCAGAATTTGATCTTGCATAGCCTAGTACAGCACTGTAGTTTGGGGGTCCCTGAGATCACCCTCAGGTTCAATGATTTGCTAGAATCATTGACTCACAGAACTCAGGAAACTGTTTTCTTCTTGTTGTTTTTGTTTGTTTATTTGTTTTTCGAGGCGGTATTTCACTCTTGTTGCCCAGGCTGGAGTGCAATGGCACGATTTCTGCTCACTGCAACCCCCACCTCCCAGGTTCAAGTAATTTTCCTACCTCAGCCTCCCAAGTAGCTGGGAATACAGTCACCTGCCACCATGCCCAGCTAATTTTTTGTATTGTTAGTAGATCTGGGGTTTCACCACGTTGGCCAGGCTGGTCTCGAACTGCTGACTTCAAATGATCCATCCACCTGCGTTGGCCTCCCAAGAGTCCTGGGATGAGGCGTGAGCCACCATGCCCAGCTGGAAATTGTTATACTCATGGTTACTATTTATTATAGTGAAAGGATACAGACTGAAGTCAGCAAAAGGAAGAGGTGCCCAGGGCAGAGTCCAGGACAGACCAGGTGTGAGCTTCTGGTCATCTTCTCCCAGTGGAGTGTTTAATTTTCCTAGCAATGACGTGTGACAGCATGCACAGTGTATTACCAAGCAGGACAGCTAACCTGAGCCTTCGTGTGCGGGGTTTTTACTGGGGGCTTGTCCCATATATGTGGCTGATTGCTGGTGTGGCTGACTTTAGTCTCCAGCTCCTGTAGAGGCTGAGCTGGAGGCCTCTGGCACACATCACTGTGTTAGCAGAGACTATCATGTATGATCCAAGGCCCAGGGAAACAAAGGCACTCTAATCAGGCAGGACATTCCATGGGCTTAGAGGTTCCCTCCCAGGAGCTGATCACCTTTCTCTGGGCAAGGTGAATCTTTTACTGCACAACTATACTGCCTCTCCACGCCCAGATAGCTCCCCAGTCTGTGCAGACAGGAATGGGGAATCTGTCAGCGTTTGTGGGATTCACGTTTTGAGTTGGACAGGGTCTGAATGAGACTGGCAGTGAGACCAAGCATCTGTTTAATTTTTCTCCACAAGGACCCTGTTTTCTCAATTCACCCTGTATTCAGGAGGCTGGTAAAGTCCTTGCCTCTGGTTTCTAAGAGGCCCCCCCAGAATGCTCAATGAGTGTTGGTCACTTAAAAAGGAGCACTCTGGCCATGCATAATGGTGCATGCCCGTAATCCCAGAATTTTGGGGAGCCAAAGTGGATGGATCACCTGAGGCCAGGAGTTTGCTGGGCAACAAAGCAAAACCCCATATATACTAAAAATACAAAAATTAGCCAGGCTTGATGTTGCCCACCTGTTGTCCCAGCAACTTGGGAGACTGAGGTACAAGAAGTGTTTGAACTCAGGAGATGGAGGCTGCAGTGAACCGAGATCATGCCACTGCACTCCAGCCTGGAAGATAGAGTGAGACTCAAAAAAAAAAATCACCCTAAGAGGGAGGGGAGAAGGAAACCCAGGGTTCTTCGGCCAGTGCCTGGTGTATATGTTCCTTCAGGGCCATTTCATTTCTCTCAGAGCCTGTTTTCTCACCTGTAAAATGGCGTAAGTCATTCTGAAGTTACATAATGTCATAAGGATTAATATCATCCATCACTGTAGCTTCACTGAGCAGTACAGGACCAGAAGCTATCCCTTTCCTGCTGTGTGTCCCCTAATGTAACTGGACACAGCCATTCCATGAAGCTGTCCTTGCTGGCACTGGCCTGGCCATCTGCTTCCGCACCATAATCCACTGTCTGTTTGGAGTAGGGATTTTCCCTGTCTTCTGTTTTGCCAACACCCAGGAGTCCATTTCAAAACAAATTCCCATTCCTTGAAGGTAATTTCTGAAAAACCCCACTCCTGGTACCAATTATTCAAGATGCCAAAAACCTTTGGCTGTAAGAACAGTGCTATACTTGGGTTTATCTGCAAGGCATATCAGCACATATGTGGCATTCAGAACGTGTTAGCTATGGTGTTGATGGTGTTGAATGCACGTAGTGGCAGCAATAGGATTCTTGTAAAAATTCACATTTGAACTACCATTTATTGGGAAGCATTGAGGTGTGATAGCATCATGGTAAAGACCATGGACTCTGAAGCTGGGCTTCTGAGGCTTAAATCCTGACTCTACCACCTACCAGCTATGAACTTTGGGCAGGTGACTGTCTGTCTACTGACCTCAGTTTTCTTTTGTGGAAAACAGGGATAAATATATTGCCAACCTCATGTGGTGCTTGACAAGTTTAAATAACCTGATGCCTATAAAGTGCTGAGGTATCTGATATGTAATCCCCCCCATACATGTGTTATTATCTTCCACATGTGATTTACCTTCTGCATTCCTTTAAACACTGTGAGGGGGAAGAACTGATTTTTCCTACTTGGAAAATGGGAAATGTAAGGTTCAGAGTGGTTATGATATGTTTCCAAAGCCACACAGCAAGTGTGATTTGAACTCTGACCTGCTTAACTGTGTAATTCAGGGTCCACGCTTCCTTGATCATCTCTGAGCATTTTGGAGGATGCTGGTGCTACCTCGGATGTTGTGTTCTCTTACAGAGAGGTGGCATAATCTAGTGATTAAGATAATAAAATCTGGAGACAGACCGCAGGATTCAAACCTCTGATCTGTCATTTATTACCTGTAAAACCTTAAACAAATCACTGAATCTCTCTGTGTCTCAGTTTCCACATCTTTAAAATGGTTACATAGAAATACTGGGCTGGGCGCAGTGGCCACATCTGTAATCACAGCATGTTGGGAGGCCAAGGTTTCGGGAAGATTGCCTGGGGTCAGGAGTTGGCGACTGGCCTGGGCAACATAGCAAGACCTCGTCCCTACAAAAAATTTTAAAAGTTAGCCAGGTGTGATAGCACATACCTGTAGTCCCAGGTTCTTGGGAGGCTCAGGTAAGAGGATTGCTTGAGCCCAGGAGTTCAAGGCTGCAGTGAGCTGTGATCATGCCACTGTATTCCAGCCTGGGTTATAGAGATACCATCTCTTTAAAAAGATACAATATGACCAGGCATGGTGGCTCACACCTGTAATCGCGACACTTTGGGAGGCCGAGGCGAGTGAATCACGAGGTCAGATCGAGACCATCTTGGCCAACATGGTGAAACCCCGTCTATGCTAAAAGTACAAGAATTAGCCGGGCGTGGTGGCACACGCCTGTAATCCCAGCTACTCAGGAGGCTGAGGCAGGAGAAATGCTTGAACTCGGGAGGCGGAGCTTGTGGGAGCTGAGATCGCGCCATTGCACTCCAGCCTGAGCAACAAGAGCAAAACTCCATCTCAAAAAAATAAAACGCAATACTTACCTTGTAGAGTTGCAGAGCATAAATTAAATAATACATGTAGAGTGCCTGGTACTGGCAATTGCCCAGACAGTTGCATGGCAAATACGAAGGGTTAACTCTCTGGGGACAGCAGACGGTGGATGGACTGTGACCCTACCCTGACCCCTACCTCTGTCCTTATTCTCTCTAGACATCTCCGTGAGCCTGCTGTCAGTCATCGTGACATTCTGTGGCATTGTCCTTCTGGGTGTCTCTCTCTTCGTGTCCTGGAAGTTGTGCTGGGTGCCCTGGCGGGACAAGGGAGGCTCGGCAGTGGGCGGTGGCCCCCTGCGCAAAGACCTAGGCCCTGGTGTTGGCCTGGCAGGCCTGGTAGGCGGTGGTGGGCACCACCTGGGGACTGGCCTAGGTGGTCATCCTCTGCTGGGCGGCCCACACCACCATGCCCATGCCACCCACCATCCACCCTTTGCCGAGCTGCTGGAGCCAGGCAGCCTGGGGGGTTCTGACACCCCTGAACCCTCCTACTTGGACATGGACTCGTATCCAGAGGCCGCAGCAGCTGCAGTGGCCGCCGGGGTCAAACCGAGCCAGACATCCCCTGAGCTGCCCTCTGAGGCAGGGGCAGGCTCTGGCTTGCTCCTGCTGCCCCCCAGTGGTGGGGGCTTGCCCAGTGCCCAGTCACATCAGCAGGTCACAAGCCTGGCACCCACCACCAGGTGAGAGAGGATACTGGGCTGGGGGTCCACTCTGAACTTCTGCTCCCCCTCTGTGTCTCTTTCCCATCTATGGCTCTTATAAGTTCAGGATTTGGAGGAGAATTGGGGTATTGACTCCTGGATCCTGGAGGTGGAGGTATCTCAGCTGAGACCCACTGGCTGAGAGAGTTAGCCAGGCAAGGAGGCAGGGCTGTGACTTGGGCATTCCAGGCGAAGGGAGTGCCCCAGGCAAAGATGAGAGGAGAACAAGATCGTAGTGCATTGTGGGAACAGCCCTTAGTCACCAAGGCATGAGAATAAGTTTGAAAAAAAAAAAAAAAAAACTCCAGGCTGGGTACAGTGGCTCACATCTGTAATACCAGCACTTTGGGAGGCTGAGGTGGCCAGATCTCTTGAGGTCAGGAGTTTGATACCAGCCTGGCCAATATGGTGAAACCTCATCTCTTCTAAAAATACAAAAAAAAAAAAAAGAAAGAAAGAAAAGAAAGCCAGGCATGGTGGCGCGTGCCTGTAATCCCAGCTACTCAGGAGGCTGAGGCAGGAGAATCGCTTGAACCCTGGAGCCAATATCGCACCACTGTACTCCAGCCTAGGCGGCAGAGCGAGACTCCATCTCAAAAAAAAAAAAAAAAAAAAAGAAAAGAAAACTTCAGAGATGTGGCTACGTACACCAGACCACATGGGGCTTTAAGTGCCAGGCTGAGGGTCTGGGACTTTGTCCTGAGGGCACTGAGGAGCCACGAGGGTCGGGGGGGCTGTGAGCCGTGGAGAAGCAGGGTCAGCTCTGGGTGTAGAAGTAACCCTCTGGGGCCATATGAGGGTGGACTGGAGGGAGACATTGGAGGCTCAGAGTCCAGGCAAGAGAGGACAAGGCCTGAGCTGTGACCGGGACAGTGGGGCTACAGAGGAGAGATGGCCGGGGAGATTAAGAGAAGGGCAGAAGAGCGTTCAGAAAAGGTCTGTGTTATGTGGGGCCTCTGGGGTCCATGGAGAAGCATCCTGGGTCACCAGCTTGAGGTCCAGAGGAGGTTACTGGAAGCTGGAGCCTGCACAGGTCTGGGCTGGAACTAGCTTTGATATGGGGAGAATGAGGCCAGGCACGGCGGCTCACACCTGTAATCCCAGCACTTTGGGAGGCCGAGGCGGGCAGATCACCTGAGGTCAGGAGTTCGAGAGCAGCCTGACCAACATGGTAAAACCTGTCACTACTAAAAATATAAAAACTAGCTGGGTGTGGTGGCATGTGCCTCTAATCCCAGCTACTCGGGAGGCTAAGGTAGGAGAACCGCTTGAACCCGGGAGGTGGAGGTTGCAGTGAGCTGAGATCATGCCATTGCACTCCAGCCTGGGCAACAAGAGCAAAACTCCATCTCAGAAAGAAAGAAAGAAAAGGAAGGGAGGGAGTGGGGGAGGGGAATGCCTCCGGATACCAGTGGGGAAACAGGCTCAGAGAGCACAGTGGCCTGCTCAAGCTCACAAAGTGAGCAAAGGAGGGGACTTGTGGCCACCTGGCTGAGGGTGGAGGGAAAGGCAGGGAGGAGTCTCCAGATCATTGCATGCAGTCAAAGATCAGAGCTACTGACCTCACCTTGGTCTCCCCTCACCCCCTACAGGTACCAAGCCCTGCCCCGACCCCTCACCCAGCAGACTCTGACCTCCCAGCCGGACCCCAGCAATGAGGAGCGGCCACCCGCCCTGCCCTTACCCCTGCCAGGTGGCGAGGAAAAAGCCAAACTCATCGGGCAGATTAAGCCAGAGCTGTACCAGGGGACTGGCCCTGGTGGCCGGCGGGGCGGTGGGGCCCCGGGCTCTGGAGAGGCAGGCTCGGGGGCACCGTGTGGCCGCATCAGCTTTGCCCTGCGGTACCTCTATGGCTCGGACCAGCTGGTGGTGAGGATCCTGCAGGCCCTGGACCTCCCCGCCAAGGACTCCAACGGCTTCTCAGACCCCTACGTCAAGATCTACCTGCTGCCTGACCGAAAGAAAAAGTTTCAGACCAAGGTCTGGAGCAGTGGTGGGCCGGATACTGGGGTCTCACAGAGAGGGAGCTGGGGGCCTGGACTCCTGGGTCTGAGGGAGGAGGGGCTGGGGGCCTGGACTTTTGAGTCCCGCGGAGGAGAGGCTGGGGGCCTGGACTCCCAGGTCCCGTGGAGGAGGGGATTGTAGACATGGTGTCTGTCTCCTGTGGCCCACCCCCACCAGGTGCACAGGAAGACCCTGAACCCTGTCTTCAATGAGACGTTTCAATTCTCGGTGCCCCTGGCCGAGCTGGCCCAGCGCAAACTGCACTTCAGTGTCTATGACTTTGACCGCTTCTCGCGGCACGACCTCATCGGCCAGGTGGTGCTGGACAACCTCCTGGAGCTGGCCGAGCAGCCCCCTGACCGCCCGCTCTGGAGGGACATCGTGGAGGGCGGCTCGGTCAGTGGCCCGCTCCCCTGACCTTCCCCTTCCCAGGACCCCGAGACCCCCCGGGTGGCAAGCCCCCTGCCCTCAGACTTCATAGCCACCTCACTTTGTCTCCCTGCATTTCTGTTAAAATGTATTGCGCGGGGGAAGATTGGAAACTTACAGGCAAGAACAGAGAATGATACAATGGACACCCTTCCTCTCCTTGAGGTCGCCAAATATTGTCAGGCCTGGATCCAGTTTTCCAACCTCTCACCCCCGTTGCCATCAGTGCCTTCCTGCTTCAGCCCCATGACTTCTGCCCTCTGACCCCAGACTTCTGACCTTCCAACTTCCTGACTTTCCAATGTCCGGACTTCTGCAAACCCCAATCCCTCAATAATTTCTGAACTTCTGAATTTTCCAAACCCCTGACATTGGAACTCTTTCATATTCGAACACTCTGTTTTTCCATGGTCCCTGCCTGAACCCTGGTAGCCCAATCCCCTAGACCTCAGCCATCCTGGGGGCCCCAGTATCCTGACACTCCCCAGTTCTCCCAGCATCCAGATTATAGGGCCCAGTGGCCTTCTCCTCATTCCTTAACACCCCTTCCCTCCGGCACCTCATTCTCCCTATACCTCCAGCCCCTCCCCAGTCCCACTCTTAGGTCCCTGTTGTGTGTGTCCCAGATCTCAGATCCTCAATCCTACTGCACCCATCCTCCAATTCTAATCTGTGAATTATCCAACATTCCAGGTCCCTGCCCATCTGGGGTAGCTGTGCATATGTTTCAGGGGGGGCTGTCTTTATATGAGGGAGGGACTAGCTCTGACCACCTCATAGCCCTCCTCAAGGTCCTTTCCTTCTCTGAGCCTCAGTTTCCCCATCTGTCCAGTTGAGCTGGGTCTATAGCTCTTCCTGCAGGCTTCTTCATAGGGCTCTCCCCAGCCTGCCTGCTTCGCCCCTCCAAGCTCAGCCTCTGGGATTGAAGTGCCTCAGTTCCAAGGTCCTGTTCCCAGGGCCCCTGTGTGTCCCACCAGCTCCCCCTCCCAGTCACCACTCATGGCAGCCCCACACCAGAGCCTTCTTTCCGTATCCATGCTGTGCAGGAAGTAGGGTGTCTAAGTCTACGTTTCTCTCTCTCTGGTCTTTGCCCCTCTGACTCTCATTCTAGGTCACTATCCCTCTCTCTGGATCTTTATACACCCCCAACCCACTATCTCTGTCCCTTTCTCTCTCTGGGCCTCTGAGTCTCTGTCTCTCTGTATCTGGGTCTCTGTCCCCCTCTCTCTGGGCCTCTGTCTCTCTGAGTCTCTGTCTCTGTCTGTCTTTGGGCCTCTGTCCCTCTTACTTTAGAACTTCGTCTGTGGGTCTGCTTTTCCATCTGTGTCTCAGTGTTTTGGCTTCTGTCTCAGTCTATTTCTCTCCATGTCTCTCTCTCTCTCTCTCTCCCCCCCCACCATCTCTCTCTCTCTCTCTCTC